TTTTAGGAGTTTGGCTCAAACTAGCGGGTGAGCCGGTGGCCAACTTGATCACGCCAGTCTTAAGTGAGCCTTTGGTAAAAGCTGGTATCAATGCCATGATCAGGCATCCGGAGTTCGGTAACAAAGTCATGGCGGATCTCAAGGTCATTGAAGTGGACATCAGAAACTTTGTGCTAAGTTGCTATCCGCGACCAAGAGAGGGTCATCGTAAAGAATGCATATATATCAGGAGGTCTGCCGTTGGTAACAAAGATGCAAAGCGACCTGCTGGTGGCACGCAAGGGTAGGTTGGAACAGCCACGCAATGGTAATGGAGCTGTAGCCCAGGTTCGACGGGTTACACTGGCTGTCGGGGGTGCAAGTCCGCTAACCATTTGGAGCGTGATTGCCCTCAGAAACAAGGCAGTACTGGCCATGGGATATCATAGCCCACCCAGCAACGACCCAAATTGACTCGAAAGGCACAAAAGAAGCAGTAGGAAGAGGCGGCAGTAGCCGCTGCCATGACTCAGCTAAAGGCAGCAGGGGTCATAGGTGCTTCTGTGGTGAAGCGGCTGAGAAGGGCGATGGACATAATGCTGTGACGACTGATGGGGCGACGAAGGAAGCTCAAGTCCTAGCAAGTGCAACAACATTTGTTGCACCGGCACGTCATTGACAAGGCAGCGTCGCTGATGCTGAGGTTAATGAAGAAAAGGTATTGAGTTACATAGACTCGGGTGCCACTCCTTCCCTGGTCACCTCTACGTTGGTGGCAAGCTTGAAACTACAAGAATTGTAGAAATACGGCCTCCGGTCAGTCTAAAATATCAAGATCAAATGGGATAACACATCGTTTTTTATTTGTACTTGAAATACTTTAATACAAGTTTTCCAATATTTCCAAAGTGTTCTAAATTCACTTTGATGGCTCCAATAGCCTGAGTATTTGGTATGACTCATTTACTTGGACCTATTTGAGACGATAGTAGATGTAGGATATTATAAACTAAATTTTATAATCTCTGAACTATATTACTTACAGGTTTTGGTCTTTCCGCCAATCTCCAAAATTTAATATGTCTTTTTCTTTTTTTAACTTTTCTTCAGATGGAACTTTATTTATATTAGCTAATGTATCAACTTAACTTACGTTCTTGTGTCTATCTACAAATTAGTTATGTGGTCATGAACACTTAGTACTTCTAGTGAAAATTATTTAATAAAGAACAGCTAGAGGTACGTCCTGTGTGATCGAGGATATTAAGGCTCTTACCAAGAGGCAGTCCCGATCATTCTTACACAAGCTACCACTGCTAAATCCTAAATGAGATATGAGGGACTTAGTGCCCAGTGCTACTGTGATGGTGAGCGTGCGTGTAGCGACATGGTTTTCGGTGACTGGATACATAAGAGATAACGTGCCTAGTGGTAAGTGGGATACCTATGGACTGTGACGTATTAGAGGTGGAGTTTAATATGGCGAGGCCATGTGTTGACTGTGGTACCTAAATATGAACTAGTGGTGGTGGCTCGGGAAGTCAGCATGAAGAGGATCATCGGGGCTCTGGCAGGAGACAGCGGGAACCAGTTGAGAGCTGGGGCGCTGTTTGAAGATTTGCAGAAGGATAGCAAGCGAGGGGTGGCTACGGGTTTACCTAGAATTGCTGAACGATATTGTGCTGTCGAGTGGCTGGATGAGGAAAAGGAATACGAGGTGTGGGACAAGGCAACCGACCCAGAAATGAATACTAAAGGCATGTGGGCGTTGGCCGATAAAGCCGGTTTTAATAAAACAGAGGTGTATAAAGTCATCCAGCTGTTTGAGGCTGTATCGTATAATGCCATGAGACCAAAATTCTTGGCAGTAGTAGATCTAGTGTTATATGAGATAGAGAGGGCCATACCCCAGTACACGAGCTACTTCCATAGTGACAAATTAAGGAATGCAGCCTTATACGAGAAGGTAATGGCCTGGATGAAGGCGGGCATTGTTGAGGAAATAGAACGAAGCGAGTGGTGCTCGGCTCCACACCTGCTTTTCAAGAAACCAGGGGTGCAACCAGTGGTTACGGACGTTTGGAGGTGTTGTGTGAATTTGAAAAGAGTAAACACTCAACTAAGGGCAGCCCCTTACCACATACCAACGGAGATGGAGTACTTGTCCGGATTGAAGAACAAGGAGTACATCACGACGCTTGACATGGGACAGGCCTTTTGCCAGGACCTCATTGCTCCACAATCTAGGAAATATATCTCCTTCAAACCCCCTTTTGGGCGATACGTATTTGTGGGTATGCCCTCCGGGTTGAAGGAAGCTTCATGGCGCTGTCAGGAGATATTAGGAGAAATGTTTGAAGGATCAGCAAGTATAGTCTGGTACATAGATAGGCAACCGACCCAGAAATAAATACTAAAGGCATGTGGGCGTTGGCCGATAAAGCCGGTATTAATAAAACAGAGGTGTATAAAGTCATCCAGCTGTTTGAGGCTGTATCGTATGATGCCATGAGACCAAAATTCTTGGCAGTAGTAGATCTAGTGTTATATGAGATAGAGGGGGGCATACCCCAGTACACGAGCTACTTTCATAGTGACGAATTAAGGAATGCAGCCTGATACGAGAAGGTAATGGCCTGGATGAAAGCGGGCATTGTCGAGGAAATAGAACGAAGCGAGTGGTGCTCGGCTCCACACCTGTTTTTCAAGAAACCAGGGGTGCAACCAGTGGTTACGGACGTTTGGAGGTGTTGTGTGAATTTGAAAAGAGTAAACACACAACTAAGGGCAGCCCCTTACCGCATACCAACGGAGATGGAGTACTTGTCCGGATTGAAGAACAAGGAGTACATCACGACGCTTGACATGGGAGAGGCCTTTTGCCCGGACCTTATTGCTCCACAATCTAGGAAATATCTCTCCTTCAAACCCCCTTTTGGGCGATACGTATTTGTGGGTATGCCCTCCGGGTTGAAGGAAGCTTCATGGCGCTGTCAGGAAATATTAGGAGAAATGTTCGAAGGATTAGCAAGGATAGTCTGGTACATAGATGATATTTTATTTGCACAAAATGATCCCGCAGAACACTGACAATGCCTGGTAACGTTTCTGCGACGCTGCAAGAAATTTAATGTGCAGTTACGACTGTCGAAATGTGATGTGGCGCAGTATAGAACGCCAGTACTCATAATTGGTAGGGTAGTGGACTACAGAGGCGCAACTATAGGAAAGGATCGGCTGCATGCTTTGCTGGAATTGACGGAACCTAGGAATAAGAATCTGTTGAAATCGTGGTACCACACAGTTGGTGGGTGGGCTGGATACTTACCAAATTTTGCGCGTGTCATGGAACCAGTCTCGCAGTTACTTAAAGAGGATAGTCCTTTCATCTGGAAGCGCCACAGAAGGATGCATTATATGCCATTGGAGAATTACTTAGGACATGTGCCATCTTGGTTGAACCATTACCACCGGAACCATTGGTGATGTTCGCCGACGCGGGCGAATCTGTGGGTCTTGGGAGTGTGTTGACAGTTGAAAGGGAGGGTAAATATTTGCCCGTAAGCTTCTTTTCGTCACGGTTTGATACAGCACAAAAGTCGTACCACATCACAGATAAGGAGGCATTGTCATTGGTGTATGGAGTAAGAAAGAATTTGAGTTTTCTACGACGATCACAGAAATTTATACGTCTATTTACAGATCACCAACCATTGGTGGCAATGCTATCTAAACCCAGAGAGTCGTTCCCGGGTGATGTAAGGGGACGAAGAATGGGGCGCTACTATGATGTTCTTAGAGATTTTAACATCGAAATAGTGCACATATCGGGAGTGGAGAATCCGGTGGCGGATGTATTATCCCGGCTCTGTGTAACAATCGATCCCATCATGTGTATTCGTGATGTGAGTTCCGATCTTCATGTGCACTATGCTGATCTCTTGGTGGCTATGGCGGTGACGGCTGAATATCAACTAACGTCAAAATATAACCGGCGAGCTGAGCGATTATGGGTACCCCATACAGCAGACGGCTTCGCGCTACCTGGCAATCAAGTGCTGCCATTCTACTGTGTTCTCACGTTAGAGGGAGGTGTATTTACTCTGTTTTGGGGGGACCCAACAATTAATTGGGTTTTTTAATCCCTCCTGGACGTTATTGGAAATGACGGTCCGGAAAATTCGCGTAGATCAGGCCTTGTATACGCTGGTGTGTCCATATTGGCCACACGCACCTTGGTTTTCGAAATTAGTCAGCCTCTTGGCTGATGAACCAATTTAATTGCTAGAACGGCAGGTGTGTTCAACAGGCATGGGTATGTGGCTGCTGGCCCACCTTCGTTCGTCACCCTTATATGCTGTTTAGGACCTCGCAGGTTTTGCTTGCGCTCTGGTTTCTGGGGCGTGTGTGATGCTATAATGCACGAGGTGCTTCGAGCACCAAAAGAGTCTTCGGTATCGATGGTAGTGGCGCCTAAACATGTGTCCCAAGATTTGCAAAGCTGTTCGCTCAGGGCAACTCCCGGTTGCTGCGGCCGCATTTATTGGAACTTGTGCACGGTTTTCGGTTGATACCACGTCTATCCTGGATCGGTCACTGGCACGAGCAGAGCGCGCTTTCAAGTTACATCAAGAGGCGCAGAAGGGTGTTGCAGCCACAGCAGCGGGGGTTCCAGACCCCAGTCTACCTGCACATAACCCTGTGCAGACGAGCCAACCTCAGGGACAGGGCTCCGTCGGGTAGCGGTGCAGAAGGCAGTTTACCTATGGCCCGTGTTGCTGGAGTGCCCGACTAAGTCCATTTGGAGTACGGTTTTAACTGGGGCGCAGGTGGTAAAGCGTTGCAAT